ATTAGCCCCCCCCCCCCAGCCCAGGACAAGGCCTGTGTGGGGCGGTGCAGGGTGAGAGACCCGCTGGTTTGGCCCCTCTGATAAGGGGCTGAGCTATTTAACTTGCAAACGAAGGAGGCGGCTTTGCAGTCACTAAGGAAACCTGTGAGGAAATCACAGACCCTGTTCCTGTCCAAATTCCACCCTCCTCGGCCCTGTCCATGCTGGCTCCGGCCACCTAAGTCCCCCCACCCGTGGGCCCCGTCTGACTGGTGACTGGAGTCTTCCTCTCTTGACCCAGCTACAGAGCAACATCACAGGTGTCCTCGCTCCACCCCAGCAATGAGCGAAGTGACGTGACGATTTGGCTCTTTAGTGTGGACGTGGGCAGAGCTCGGAGGCTGGTCGGCCTAGGATCTAGCCCTGTTCCTGGAGGGCAGGTCCACCAATGGATTAGCCAAGACAGAGGGGGGCAGCCAGTGTTCCCCGTAAGTTGGATACTTGGGCGGCCACGCCGGAGAGAGTCCAACGCCGCCCAGCTGATTAGCCGAGCGCACAGTCTCCTCACCCTGCAGCGTGTGTTGCTATTGGTGGTGCACCTCCGCACATGGGCGCACAGAACTTTTATTCCGCTCATGGGTGGGAAAAATCAGAGGGAACATGGGTGTTATTGCCACAGGGGCGCACACAGCGCCGTTCTGCTGCTGAATCCGAGGCAGCCCTGGGGAGGGGAGGGGAAGCCGGCTCCGAGGGGAAAGCCCTTAGCCCACAGCTCAACGGGACGTGTGATGCGCACAGGACTCCAGGGGGGGTCTCTGCTCAGACCAGGCAGACCTGCACCATGGGGCAAAGGGGCTTTGCTTGGGCTTTTCAAGGGGGTGGGACTCTGTGTGTCCGGTGTTACTGATTTCATGAGGGGAGGGGAGGGGCAGTTTGTTGTGGCAGGGACCAGCACAGAAGAGGGGACCCGGCAGTGACCTGGAGAATGGAGACCCCAGCGACTGGTGACTCGGAGGGCACAGCTGGCTCCAGCCTGTGGGAAGCTGCGGAGGGGGGACCCTGACCTGCCCCGGGGGTGCCAGCCGCGGGT